TTAATATACTATTAATAATCTTTAGATTTCTATTAGGTTTAGATAAAGTTTTTTATAATTTTTTTAAATACTAAAAACTCTTACCTACAGTAAAAATATTTAAAAAACTAAAAATATATTTAAATATTAAAAATATATAATTTATTAAAATATTTTAACTTATATTAATACTATTTTAAATACTATAGAATATACTAATATTTTTATTTACTAAAAGTTCTACTAAAATTAGTTTTTTATTTTTTATTAAATAGGTAAAAATTTTTTTTTGTTGCAACTAATAGTATTAGTATTAAATATTTATTTAATAGTTTTAAAAATATCTACTATTATTACTAAAGCTGTTTTTATTTTAATATAATTAAAACAGTTATACTTTAATAATATACTAATTATTTTATAATTAGTAAAAAATATAAAAATATTTTTAAGAATTTTAATTTAGATTTAATTATTTTTATATTAAAAAAGTAAAAAAAGAATAAGGTAATTATTATTTTTTATATTAGTAAAAATAAAAATATAAATAATTTTAAAAATAATGTTAAAAATAAATTATTATTAGAATTAGAAGAGCTCGGCCTACTAAAGTTTTTAAATATTATATATATTTAAATAAAAATAAGAACCCGGCCTTTATAATTTTTATATTAATATAATTACTATTCTAAATAGTATAAAAAGTAGTATAAAACAGGTATACTATTAAAATTATATAAAAAAAATTATACTATAAATAATAACAGTAGTAGATTTTAATAAAAATAAATTATTATTTATTTATTTTATAATAGACTAGTTTAAGAAAAAAAAAGTCTAGTTTTTATAAATAAAGCTGTAGATCTAGTTTAAAAAATATAAAAAATCTAGCCTCTATAAACAGAACTGTAGATCTAGTTTAAAAAGTATAAAAAATTTAGCCTTTATAAATAAAACCGCAGATTTGGTTTAAAAAATATAAAAAATTTAGTTTTTATAAATAAAACTACAGATTTGGTTTAGAAGATATAAAAAATCTAGCCTCTAATAAAAGTTATAATTACTATTTTAAATAATATAAAAAATAAAATAAAACTATTAGTTTATTAATTTAATATTAGATACTTTTTTTTATACTAGGTTTTATAAAAGTATTTTACAAAGTATAATATATTTTAAAAAAAGCAGATAAAGCAGATAGAATAAATTAGCTAAATTTAAAAAATATTACTATATTATAATTAAAAATTTATTATATTATATATATAATATATATAAAAAGAATATATATTACTAATTAATCTGCAGTTAATAATTTATTTATTATATCTAATTTTTTTAACTAGTAAATATAAATAGTTAAAGTAGCAGTTATATTTTAATCTAATTTTAATTATATAGTTTAAAACTTTTTATATTTTAACCTGGCTATACAGTTATGGTCAGGTTAAGGTTAAGGTATAACAGTCAGGTTAAGCCACTCTAGTTTTCTTCTAAAGGTGCCTCTATATTAATATTAAGGGCAGCCACAGCTTTAAATTTTTAGACTATCTGAATAAATAAGTATTTAAAATATACTTAAATATCTTTTTTATCTTATTTTAATACTTTTTATTATAGGTTGCTTTTTTAAATGCTATAAGTACCTCTATTTTAATATTTTCTATCTTAGCTTTTTTAAAACTATACTAAAGTTAGCTGGTAAACATTTCCCAAAATATATAGACTAATTTAGATAAAGTATCTTATAGAAGAATTAAAACCAATTCTTTTCTTACCAGTAATAAATATCTTTGCCTATTATTACAGAACAAATGGATTATACTAATTAAAATATACTATAGAATAAAAAGAATAGCTCTCCAGCTACTTTTTTATTTATATAAATTTTTTTATATATATACTAAGCTAGTGCTAGTTTAGTTTATAGTATATAAAACTTTAAATACTGACTAGTATCTAAAGCTAAGCTTTATATTAGGATTTTAATTTTATAATAAAAGTTCTTTTTTTTAATTATTTCTACAGCTTTAATTTATATAAATAGCCATTTTAAATCTAGGGTAACAGTTTTATATTTTAGCTTTTTTAATAATATTATAACTAATTAGTACATAATATATATATAAATAAAGCCTATTTTATCTTTTATAGCTTTTTTTATATAGTTTTCTTTTATAAATATAATAATTCTATAATAAATAGAATCTCTTTTTATACTATTTATATAATTAGTTTTAGAAATATAGTTAGGCTGGGCTACTAGCTTTGTATAGAATATATAAGGACTATATAAAAAGACTATCCCCCCCTTTTAAGCTTTTTTTTATATATTTCTTTTATTACTAGTCTGTTTTTTTGCCTATATAATTTCTATTATTTTTTTATATATCTATATTATATCTTTTTCTTTTAATACTGGGGCTAATAAATCTAATTACCTAGATAATGTACTAGTTTTAATTTATTATAATTTTTATTAGACTTCTATTACTATTTTTAACTATAATTTATTTTTTTTATATTATATACAACTACTTATAATCTCTATACTAATAATATAGAATATTAAATTATTATATAATTAATGATATATAATAATAAAACTCTAGTTTAGCTTTATTATACTTTAAACTAGTAGTATATTTAGTATTTTTTTTACTATACATTTAAAATAAAAATTAGTGCTTTTACTATAGTATAGATAAAAAAGTCTAATAAGTTTTTTATATAATATATTAATAGATTAAATATATACTAGTTGCTTTTTCTATATTAATAGTTTTTTAATTATATTCCATAACTTAGTAATAGTATATTATTGTCAAGGAGTGGGCTGGTGTCTGGTTCTTAGTCTGGCTGGGTAGTAGAAATAACAGTATAGGCTGGACAGATCTTTATAACTGGTTTTTTTAATATTTCTTTAGCTACTGCATTAGGCTATTTGTAAATTTATAAATAAAATATAATTTAAAAAGCTATAAACAGAATTAAAAATAAACAGATATATAAAAGGGTTTTAGATTATATATAAAAAAGTTAAAAAAATAAATAAATTATTAAAAGTAAATAAGTTAAATAAATTAAATAGATTAAATAAATTAAATATATAAAATAAGTAAGATAGATATATTAAATCTATATTATAATAGTATATCTTATTTTTAAAACTCAGCTTTGTTAAAGTATAGATTATAATTTATTAAAATAATAATAGTAAAAATCTTTAACTATTTAATAAATATTTTTTAAATACTAAGCTAGTTTAGTAGTTAAATTTAAATATTTCATCTACTTTATAATATATATTAATTAAAAATAACAGTATTTTTTATAGTTTTATATAAAATTAAAAATATTTTTAACTTTTTATTTTTTTTTTTAATCTTTATATAAGGCAGTAGAGGTTAATATTAATCTAAAATTAATTTTTTATTAATAAAAATAAATAGACTAGTATTAAATAAAAAATATATTTTTATATTAAAAAATAAAGCTAATTGATAAATATATAAACTACTAATTCTTTTTAATTTTATATAGTTTTAAAGTATTTTAATTAAGCTTTTTACTAGATTTTAATATTTTAATATAATAGATATTTAACTATATTTTTTAGTTTTTTTAAATCTTTTTACTAGCTTATATTATTAGTTTATTTATTTTATAAATTAAATTTAAACAGCAGATATTTTTATTTTAGTAACTTTAATAATAGTTTATATTTTTATAGTAAACTAGTCTATACTTTTAGTAACTAGGCTATTTAAAGTAGTAATAGATTTAAAACCTATATAAAAATAAAAACTATAATTTAGAAAAAATAGTATAGTTTTAATAGTATTAAAATAGATTATATTTAATATAAATTTAAATAGAAAAAGCTACTGGCTCTAGTTATCTTATAAATAGTTTATATAGATATAAAAATACTATTTAAATATTATATTAACTTTTTTAGTTTAGCTATTAGTTCTAAAGTAATATACTATAAAAAACTTACTAATAATATTTAATTATTATATTATATATTTTTAAAATTTAAAAACAAACTAGGATTTTTTATTTAAAAAAAATAATCTAAATAGGCTATATAGTTTTTATATATATTAGATATATATAGTTATAATAGTAGCAATATTAGCTGTAGAGTTATATAATATTAAATACTTTATTTTTATTAAATAGTTAATAATTATTAAAATAATATTATAATTTTACTTTTTAAAAATAAAGTTTATAAATGTATTTTATTATATTTATTTAAATACTAGTAGGGGCTTTAGAATTTGTTATTTTTTCTTTACATAAAGTTATTTTTTAGTAGATATAGCAGTTTTTTATCTATTATTTTAAATATTAGTAAATATTAGACCAGTAGTATTTTAAAACTAAAAGCTTATATATATAATTTTTTTTAAGATATTTAGAAATGGGTTTATTATAGATAAGTCTAGTTAGGTCAGCTTTAATCTATTTATTATTAAATATTTATAATTAGTTTTTATAAAATCAAAAGCTTTTTTTTAATATAATATAAGTAATATATTTAGGTAGTAGTTTTTATTAGTAGCTAAAGCCTTTAAAATTTTTCTAATCTATTTTTTTTATATATAGTATAGAAAGGTTTTTATATTTCTAGTAAAAATTATAAATTTTATTTATTTTTAAAAATTATATTTTTTTAAATATATAAAATAGGTACTAATTTTACTTTTAGTATATTCTTAGTATTTTTTAAAATTATTTTTTATTATTATTCTTACTTTCTAGTAGGATTGAAGCGGGTGTTAGTAGATAAATAAAATTAATATTTTTTACTTTAAAACTACTTAGCTTTAGTATAGTAAGTAATTTTTTTAAAAAAATCTTTTAACTTTTTAGTCAGGCTGTTAGGCTTAATACTATACTTACTAAATCTATAAATATTTTTAAAATTAAAATAAAATAAAAATTCTAACTATTAGACTTATTAGTAGTTTAGAAGTTTTATAAGTATAAAATATTTTAAATTATAGTAGTTAATAATAACTTATATTAGTAATAAATTTTTTTTCTAATTTAAAGTACTGTTTTTTAAAACAGTAAATAATAGTAAATAGTTTTTTATTATAAATTTTATAGTTATACTTAGTAGAGGTATATTTTACAAAAAAATATAAAATTAAATATAAGACTTTATTATTTTTATATTAGAATAGTACTTTTTTAAAAATATAGTTAAAGGTATTTGTTTTTACAATTATATCTTCTATCTAATTAAACAGCTGTAGAATATGTATATTAATAAAAATACTTTTTAATTTATAAAAATCTTTCAAGTATTTTAAAAACTAGTTACAAGAATATTTTTTTAAATTAAATATATAAGTAGTACTATTAACTTAAAAAGTTATAAATAAAACAGTAGTAGAAATTACTAAAGTCTAAAAGATCTAAATATTAATTATATAAATTAAAGTAGACTATTTAGCTATAGTTTTAATCTTTTTTTAATTTATATAAAACCTATTATAGTCTATAATCAGGCCTAGAAACTTAATTTTAGAAACTCTAAACTTATATTTTTATAGTTTTATATATAATCCTATTTTCTATAGCTTTTATAGTATTTAATAAACATTTTTAAAGTTATTTTTTTAAATATAATTAAAGACTAGAATATTATTAAAATAGGCTGTATAGAATATATTAAAATAGTTTTCTAAAATATTATTAATATATTACTAAAATATAACAGGAGCTTTAGTAAGTCCAAATAGTATTATAAGTATTTTATATAGTTTTAAATAAATCTAGAATATAGTTAAATATTTTTAGTCTTTTTTAATCCTAATATTATTAAAAATACTAATAATATTAATTTTAATAAAGTACATTATATTTTTAAAATTATTTAGGGTTTTTTTAATAAACAGAAGTAGATAATAGTTTTTTATAAAAATAGTATTTAAAATATAATAGTTAATATAAAATCTTGGATCTTTTTTTAGACTTTTTTATAAATAGTACTAAAAAGATAACTAGTAATAAACTTAAATAAATAAAACCTTTTTTTAAGTTTTTTAAAAACTATTTTTTTAAAATTTATAATTTATTTTAAAATAGTTTATATAAAGGGCTAAACAGTAGAAACTTTCTATTTTTTAAAATAATAATATAATTATATTTTTAAATATAAAAGTAACTTTTTAGCTTTTTTAAAAAAAATATTTTAAAATCTTTAAACTTTTTAAATAAAGTCTGTTTTTTTAGCTTAACTAAAGCCTGTAGTACTTTATTAATCTAGTTTAATATTATTATAAATACTAGATAATTCTTGTGTATGTAAGTAGTATATATAATTAATAAAATTATATAAATATATTTTTTATTAGGGCTTTTTAAAATATAATATTTTTAAAGCAGACTTTTACTAGTATATTATATAATACTTTAATCTTTTAGGATTTTAATAGAATGGTATAATATTTCTAATAGTACTAGTTAATAAACTGGACTTTATATATAGATTAACTAGTATAAAGATTATAGATCTTTAGTTATAAAAAACTCTAAAATAATTAAATAATAGATAAAATAGATATTTAAGAAAAATATATCTTTTTTAATATAGTTATATATCTTTAGGATTAATATAATATAATAAGTAACATAATCTAACTTTTTTTATTAGCTGTTAAATCTTATAATTACTTTATAAATTTTTAAAAAATATAAAAGTAACTAATAGGCTTTAGCCCAGCTTTTATCTATTATTTTAAAAATAAAGTATCTAGTATTTATTATAATATAGATTAGGACTTTTATATTTTTAGAATTTAAAATAATAAAAATAACTATTAAATTAGTTTTTTAAAATTTTTGTTAAATGAAATTTCTCTAAGTAAAGCTTTTAAAATAGTATATAATTTTATAGGGAAGTTGGCCTTTTGGTAGTTTAAAATAGGCTTATTTTTATAGCTGCTTACTAAAGTTAAATAAGTAAAAGTAATTAGATTACTGTAGAAAATAAAACTAAAAAACTTATAAAAACTATAAATAAATTTAATTATTAAAAATAAGCTCTATAAAATAATAAAAAAAATAAATAATATTTTAAAAATAAGTAGATATAAAAGTTTAGAAATAATAAATATAGTAAATAGATATAGGGATTTAAAAATAAAAAATATATAAATACTACTTATAATATTTTAATATTAGATTTAAAGTAGTTTTTAATAAAGTAGTAGTCTAATTTATAGTAGAAGTACTTTTAGCAGTTATAGCAGTTAGTCCTCTGGCAGGGGGACCAACAGTATACAGTAAATAAATCTATATAATTATATTTAAAAATAACAGATATTTTTATATAGTCATTATTTTAAAATTTATACTAGTATTTAGGGTTATAAAGTATAGAATTAAATATAAAATCTTTAAAAGTAGTTATAGGCTTTAGTATTATATTAAAAACAGTAGTTATTTAAAATCTAAAAAAATAAACTAAATTATAGTAATCTTTTTTTTAGAAAATTATTAATTAAATGTATACTTTTAAAATCTTAGCTAATATAAATTTTAAGTATAAAAAATATTAAAGTATATATATTTTTTTCAAACTAAATAGTTAAATATAGTAAAAAAATACTCTAAAATCATAGGGTCCTTATTTTAGTTAATATAGTTTATTATATATAGTTTAGGCACAGTTAGGATTACTGAAAAAGTATTTAAATAAATATAAAATATTAGTAAAATTATTTGAATTATATTTTTTATTTTTAATATAGGGTTATACTTAAGTATATAGTATCTTATCTAAGCAGCTAATTATATATAACTTTTAAACAGTGGCTGTAGTATATTAGTTAGTATTTATATATATTTTTTTTAATTTAAAAAATAAATTAGTAAAGGTTGAACAGTTGCCTTTAAACTTATTAAAATTAGATAAATATTTAAAAAAAAAATAAAAATAAAAGATTTGGAATTAATTAATATAATTATATTTATTAGAGCAGCTGAAGTATTTTTAATAATAAATATAGATTCTAAGACTTATACTAAAATATTCATTATAGGGGTAGTAATCTAAATAATTTTAATATACTTATTTAAAACTTAATTTTTTTTAAAGGGTATTTTATATGCAGTAGTAGTATTAATAAGTTTTTAAATTATAAATATCTTCTTCTACTAAAACTATTTAGTTTAAAAGATTAGAAGTATTTTTTAAATAGCTAATTTACTGTGGATCTCTACAGTATAGGTATAGACTTGGTTGTAACAGTAGAACTATTTTTTAAAATATTTTTAAATATACTTAAGAACTTTTCTGAGGTTTCTCAGAAAGACTTCATTAAACTCTCACTTTCGCATACAAATTGGGTGCAAAAGTAAGGTGAAAGTGAGAGAAAATTAAAAGAATTAAATTAAAGATAAATAAAAAAATAGGCTAACTGCTAGAATTGATTGGAAAAACTGACTGAAACTGATTAAAGCTAATTAAACTAAAACTAAAACTGATTAGACTAATTATTTTTCTGAATAGAACTCCAGGGGTCTTTTTATCCTTATTTATAGCCAATTGGCTATCAAAAACACATGACAAATACATAAATTTATATGAAATTCATATAAAAATCATATAAATAGAACAGGGCCGAGAACAATAGAACCAGTGGTTGAATAGGGCCTAGAATAATTAATAAAAGTAAGGCCTTTTGCTCTGCTGCGGGGTGGGCGGAACTCGGAACATCAGTCCGCCAACTGGTGGCCTAAGGCAGCCCACTTGTAGCCTAACACTGCCAACTGGCCTGAGGCTGTGAACTGGCGAGCCTGAGGCATATCTTCAGTGGCAGGCAGGGCTTAAGGTGGCGGGTAAGCAGGAATGGCAGGCGAGCAGGCCCTGAGGTGGCGCCTGGCGAGCCTGAGGCTGCCAACTGGCCAATCTGCCCACATTCTTGACAATACTAGATAAGCTTTTTAAATATATTTAGTATTACTAAGAGTTGTAGAATTCTTAATATCTTATTAAAACTACTATTTCTAAAAGTAAAAGCTATATAGTATTAAAAAGTAAACTAGTATTTAGTTTTTAATCTAGCTAAATAGTTGTGACTGCTGTCTATAGACTTTAGTGTATTAAGGTGCTTGCACCTTTCTGCATCGGCTGCATCAATAGTTTATATAGTTTACTATAGGTAATATACTTAGCCTCTCAGCCTTCCGGCCTTTTTAGAATAAAAATAACTTTTTTATATTTTATTATCTGTAATATATATTTATTATAGTTGGTAGTATATTCTATATATACTTTTAACTGCTTTATTCTACAGTATATCCAAAAATTATATCTTTTTTTTTAATATTATATTCTGTATATCTCTACTTTATAGTATATAAAGTATATTAAGATATATTATTTCTAGGTCTTATTTAAAAAGCTGGTTACTTATTTTGCTTTCTGCCCTTATTTGTCTGCTTAAATACTTTTTTTATTGCCTATAATAATACCTTTTATTTTTATAGCTGCCGACATCTTTTCTTTTATAAAAGATAGTTTTATTTAATTTTATATAATTTTATTTAATATAACTTCCTTACTTGTCAGCTCGACTGTGTTGGAATTCTTATTTATTATAAAAATACTAAAGATTATATGTTTTAACTTTTATTTTTTGTTATTTTTATATTTTTTAACCTTATTTTTTTATTGTTAGTAAAAATTATATTGTATATAACAGCAGTTTTGGTTGTATAACCTGTATATTATTAAAATATTACAAGAATAAACAGCATTTTTTATTAACTATACTAATTACACCTTTTTTATATTTTTAGATAATTCTTTTTTTCTAAAATTATCAAAGACGCCCCAGATAAGTACTGAGTAAACTAAACAGTTAATATCAATTCTACTTTTTACAAACTTTTATTTTTTAGCTAAAGAGACGCCTGTTAATATTTTTTTTTTAAGAAAGTAAAAATATTTTACATAGTTAGTATATCAGCTGTAGAACTTTTAGTTGTATATTTAGTATAAATTTATTTATTCACTTAACAACAATACTCTGTAGTATTTTAAATATATATATTTAAAAATTTATAATCTGCTTTAAAATCACAACTTCCAGTAGCCACCTAAGTGGTCTATAGACTACCTATTTTTAAGTAAAGCTGTTTTTAAATTTTTATATTTAGTATA